CACGGTGGAGTTTTCTGCTGCAAAAGAGAACCCCAGTGCAAGGGAGAATTTCCCACCAATTTGAAGCTTTCTTTGCAGGGTGCATTTCTTTGTTGCAGCACAGAAATGCTCATTGCAAAGAGTTCCCGCCATTTGTATGCTAATTTGAGTCCCATTATTGGCCAGTTCTAAATTATTCACACGTGGCGGCTAGTGATTGGCTTGCTAGCCGTATAAGAGGCTTGAGTGGTTTCCACCCAAGTTAGAGGACTCCACGAACAAGGGAGGAGGAGACTTCACGCTGCGTGAAGATCTCTAAGCGCTGCGGATCCTTACGGACCCAGTGCATTTAAAGCAGGCAACAGAGGTCTGATCAACCTCTAGCCTCTCCCCGTCGCCGAGCGCAATCCAGACGTATCCCTTCCCGCGCGCAAGAGAACCGAACCCACGGAGCCTAGCAAACTTCGTGTGAGCCCTTATGACCGGCCTCAGAGCTCTTCTACCCGGGTTCGAGTGCTGCAGGTTTATTTTCCCGTCGCTGGAAACCCTTTGCGACGTACCCTCGTGCCCTGCAGGTTCGAGTTTTGTTTTCTTTTCTGTCTGTAACCGCAACTCAAGCAAGTTTTCCAGCCTGCACCACTGCCATCTCGGTGTAAGTAAACAATCTTTTAAACTACCGCTACGCGTTTGTGCCTAATTCCAGCTCGACGGCCTTCCCTCTCCGACCCGGCGTGCCCGGGCTGCTGGCCACAGCCCGCGTGCAGCGCAGAAAAGGGCTCGGGTCGCTCCCGGCCCGCACAATTATATCTAAGGGTGTCATATGGAAAATTATCAAACTGAGGACCAGCATGACATCATTTGTCCTACTTATAGTCTTACCTGTGAATGACCTTACCAGCCTAACATGAGCCAGCCAAGAGCATCTTAATTTGCCCTCAACAGAATTTGCCCTTGTCCCTGCTCAGAAATATGGAGGCAAAGAACTTCTGGAAGAGATCAGCTTTTTCCTTTGCTGCAATCACCAGATTGCCAAGTGTGTCCTGTAGGGGCCCCACATTACCTGGTGCCTTCTTCTTACTCCCTATGTATTTGAAAAAGGACTTTGTTATCCTTAACTGTGGTCCCCAACCCTAGTTCCATCTCTGCCTTAGCCTTCCTAACCGCCTCCCTGCAATCACGAGCAACGGAGGTGTAATCCTCCTTGGTGATTGCCCCTTGCTTCCACTGATTGTATGCCACCTTTTTTGCCCTCAGGCCCACCTGGACACCTTTACTGAGCCAAGGGGGCTTTTTAGCACCCTTGCCCCCTTTGGTTCACACTGGGACTGACTCCCTCTGAGCTCGCAGGATCCTCTCCTAAAGGAACAACCACCTGTCCTGGACTCCCATGTCATTGAAGCTCCGAGTCCCCAATGCCTCTCTTACTAATCTCCTTAGCTCATTGAAGTTGGCCCTCCTGAAGTCAAGGACTTTTGCCTTACTGCTTGCTTTCACCACCCTGCACCAGGTAGTACAAGGGAGTAAATTCCAGCAGACGATGGTCACTAACGCCTAGGTAGTCAAGCACCTGCAGATCCCTCACCAGGTCATCATCGCCTGTGGCAAGGACCAAGTCCAGGATGGCATTTCTTCTGGTGGGATTATGTACCTCCTGGGTTAGGTGGAGGTCCTGTATGCAGGCTACAAACCTACATGACCGTTCACACCTGGCTGACTGATCCTCCCAGAAAATGTCTGGGTAGTTTAGGTCACCCATGACAACCACACCCCTTGTCCTTACAGCCTCCATGAGCTGACCTGAGAATTCCAGGCCCAGCTCGTCCCTCTGGTGAGGTGGTCTGTAGTAGACGCCCACCATTAAGTCCCTTTCCTCACAACTCCCTTCCATTCTTACCCAGAGCGCCTCAGTTTGTCCCTCTTCTGAACCCATCCTGACCAAGGACGTGTACTGCTCATTAACATAGAGTGCTAAACCCCCCACTTTTCTCCCTACTCTATCTCATCTATACAACCTATAACCCTTGATGTCTACTGCCTAGTTGTGGGTCCTGTAAGCCCTACCAGGTCTGGGTTTCTGCTAGCTAGCAGGAGGGCCGACTCAAGGAAATAGCAGGCAATAGTAGACAGACTGAAAGAGGACTGGCAGCTTTAGAAGGGCAAGTAGTGGAAACTTAGCAAGAAACTAAGCAATGTGATGAAACCAGAAGGATGGCAAGAGACCAACGTGGCTGCACAAGCAGCTTCTAAGATGCCTCAAGTGCAAAAGGAAAGCAGACAGGCAGTGGGAGGAGGGGCAGGCTCCCAAGGAAGCAACCAAAGAAATAGCAAAAACTTGCAGGGACAGAATTAGGGAAACAGCCACACAAAAAAGGGGAAAAAAAGAGCTACACCTTGAAAGGGAGATTAAAAACAAGAGGTTTTAGAAAATGCGTTGCTCAAAAAAGAAAGACTAAGGACTTTGGGTCCACTAATAAATAGCCAGAGTAAGTTATTAAGAGAAGATGCAAAGGCAGAGCTGCTCAACAGCTAATTTGCCTAGGTCTTCACAAAAAAAATAAGCTGAATAAAATTAGACAACTAATAAAGACTGTGTGGGCAAGGAGACGCGCTGAAAGTTGCAATAATTAGAGAGATTGACTAAAAGCTTTTTTTTAATCCAATTCAGTGAACTCATCTCAGCAATGCCCAATGCACTCTCTCCCAGGGTGTCAAAGGAAGTTGAAGGGGAAGTGGAGCCCTTGGGTAATAATATTTACCTGATGGTTGAAGACAGGTGACTTTAGACTAGAGGACAGGAAAAGGTCAACATTTTTTAAAAGAGGGAAACTAAGGGGGGCACAAAAAGGAAGACTGTAATAGTAAGGGCTTTGCTTAATGCTCATAGCAAGAGTTTTGTATGCTGACTCCATAGTAGGCCAGTATTATAGCATGTAGCTTCTTGCTGCGAGCGTGACCGAACCATGAACCTAGACAGCAGAACGTTGTAATACAGGGGAACGTGGTACACACCAGGTGTGTTGGATCACGACTCATCCCCAAATTCCTAGCTTGAGATAACGTTATTTACTCCAGACCGTGTAAGCTGTATGTCCTGAAGTTACGGGAGTTCCTCAAACTCCGGCGAGAATCCCGACTTGCACAGAGTCCGCCGCAGGCTATCGCTTCCCCGGGATCGAGACGCTCCGGGGCCAGGAGAACTATGCAGGGCAGCGGCTGCCGCCTAGAGCCGATGTGAAGCGATCATCCTCACTGCTCTGCCCTATCGTCTGCCTCTGCGAGTATCCTTAAAGCTTTGCAAGGGTGAGGACAACCGTGAGTAGGTCCTCTGTTCAAGCGCGGGGAATCCTCTGAACCCAGTGGTTCATTCTAAGACAAAGACCCAGGGAATTATAGCCTGCTTGGCTGAATTCAAAACCACAAAGGTAGTGGGACTGAGAGGTGGCAGCAAGTTGCTCGCCAGGCCAGAGCAGGTCTCCTCTCCTCCATGAAGGGAGGCCTCTGGGAGCTGCGATGAGGCTAGGCAGGGCCCAACTGCTCCCCGAGGCCAAGGCCAAGGCCTGCCACACTACTCAGGAGCAAACTGTCCAGCAGCCAGCACCGCGCAGGGCCCTGCACATCACCCGTGCTGCTCCTGCCCAGCCGGCACCAGTCTGTGTCCTGCCCGCCTGGCAGCCTCAGCGGGAGACAGGGTTAGGGTTAGCGGTAGGATCAGGGTGTCCTGGCAGCCTCGGCAGGAGGCAGGCCGGGCCCAGCTCCGGACACGCTGCAGGCGCGGGTGCTCCGCGGTCGCCAGCGACAGGAGGGAGCGCTGGGGCCAGGCCGCCACGCATCGCAGGGAGAAGGAGGCGGGTGCATGCGCGGTAACCTCAGCAAGATGCGCGCGCAGAGGGGTGAGATGGGCTGTGGCGCATGCGTGGGGTGGGTGGCAGTGGAGGCAGTAGCGGATCACGCACGCGAAGGAGCAGCAAGAGGGCGCCCTGCTGTCATGGAGCGCATGCGCGGAA